GCCGTGTAACAGCCGTAGTATGATTTTCCTCTCCGCCCGCAGGCGGTTGTTTAATACCGAGCGCCTCACAGGCTTTGGCTGTGCCGGGGCGGTAAGCTTTGCCTGTAAGGCGCGTTTGGTTTGCGTTCTGGAAAGGGCCGGTGCGCTCTTGGAGCACAGCGAGAAGCCCTTGTCTCCTGTGGTCTCTGGTACCCTCCAAGCTGTCTCCAGCACAGTTTCCTGTCAGGCGGGTGTAATCGCTTCAGTTGTGCTCCTCTGCCACCTCCTCTCTGTGAGAGCACCGTTCAGCAGTTGCCATCTTTGGGGCAGCTTGGACTCTGATTTGAGGGACACATGACAGGGAAAGCGCTGCTGTGCCTGTTCTCCTGACCATCTTGCTGGTGCTATGCTAAAAAAAATCACTGATCCAATTGCAGCACTTGTGCAGTTCCCTGCTGTGTCAGTAAATGCCGCATGTACTGTCTCCTTCAGTCTAGCATCAAAATCAGAACTTTGCTGAACTATGCTGTGCAGAGGAAACCCACTTATTTTGGGGACGGTTATGGGATGGTCCCAGAGCATCTACTGGAGACAGCTGGGTGAATTCCAGTTACACTGTGGGAGATGGAAAGTGCTTAGCTTGCGTGAAGGCAGAGAAACTTGAAGGAGGCTGCATGTTTTGATCTCGACCTTTTTTGTGTGAGGAGTTAGCTCCAGGTTGTCCGCAGGCTGTTGGGATTGGAGTAACAAGTCTGCTGTGGGTTCTCTCTTCAGCCAACACCGGTTATCCTGCGGAAGGAGGGGACGGACACCTCACAGGGGATCCCCCAGCTCGTCAGTAACATCAATGCCTGCCAGGTTATTGCGGAAGCCGTGCGCACTACCCTGGGACCTCGGGGCATGGACAAGCTCATTGTGGATGACCGGGGTAAGCACTGGGCAGTGGTGTCTCACAGCTATGTAGAAATCATGGAAACCACAGACTGGGAAATTATCTCCAAGCGCAGTGCACACTGGCAGCTGCATATTTACTCATGTCTTCATAGCAATTAAAACCAGCATTTGCATGTATGCAGACTTCAACTTCCACACCCCATATACTGCACAACTCTCACAATAGAGGTTCAGCGTCTGTCTCTGTGTTCAGTTTAACACCTTGACTCTGGCCTCTGCTGTTGAGAAGATCGTTGTCAGACCCACCTGAGGAGCCATGTGCTTGCTGCCTACTAGTCTGACTTAAGACAGCTGTGGTCTTTGTTGTGAGGTTGGGTAGATTCAGGTTAGTGGGACTAGATGTGAGAAAATCTGTGCCAGAAAGAAGAAACTGTCTTGAACCTGGTCTTCAGGTATCCCTGACCATCTCTATTTATTTATTTTTCACATGAGGCTCACATACGTGTGGAGTTACTCAGCTCTTGTTGTGGCTGAGCATGAGGTCAGTGGAAGTTACTGGATTGATATTTTTTTTCTTTTTTTCAATGTAATTTAGGGATGAGACTCGCCCCCCTCTGGAAAGACTTGCATGAAGTTGCCAAACTAATATATTGCTTGTGGGTTTTTGTTGCTGAAGGATGGGGTGGAAGGTCTTAGCATTGTCTTGAAATAGTTTTTACAGATAGGAACCGTAATAAGTTTTATTAAAAAGGGTAATTGGATTTCAATTTGCCTAATAACTAATATGATTGATTTCTAGTCTCTTTCATCGTGTAGGTTTCAGACTAGAATATCTGTTTTTATCTGTCTGCGGAGGCAGTATATCGAGAAGTAAGAAGGGAATGAATTTAAAGCCTCTCTTAATTGGTGCGAAGACTAACTCAGACTAACTTCATTTAATCTGTTCCAAAAATGGACTAGAAAGACGCTCGTAGTATGGAATGGGGGCATCTGCTGAGACACCCTCTGTGAAACAGCTGTTCTGGCTTCCCCTCTCCATGAGCGTGACCCTTTCACTTTCCTTTTCAGCCAGTTTATAGTCGTGTATCTGGCTGTAGGAGTGTATAAAAATACTGTGGTGATCACGTCTCAAATCACACAGGAGGAAAAAAACAGTCATTTGGTGGAAGAAAAATGACTTTTAAGTGGAAATTTGGGCCGAGAGCCTGTGGTTCTTTAGACATGACAGAATTCATAATGGTGCAGGACCAGGGCTTGATTGGGGAACACTGTAGCGTAATATCAGGTTGGAGACACGTTTGACCTGAAAGGTGAACTGGTGAAGCAGAGAGAGACTGGCTGGTCTGAAGTGACTGTTGTCTTAATGTCTCTCTGAGGTTCTGAAAAGCTCCCTTGGGTGTCGGGGTGCCCTTTCAGAGCAACCAGGGCTTCACTCGTGGCAGTTGAGCTTGACTTCCTTTTGTACATCAATCCCAGGCAAAGCCACTATCTCCAACGATGGTGCCACCATCCTGAAGCTCCTCGACGTTGTCCATCCGGCGGCGAAGACGTTAGTGGACATCGCCAAATCTCAAGATGCAGAGGTAGGGAGTGGCCTGGCTGTGCTTGGAAGCGTAACGTGCGGCAGCAAGCTTGCTCCTGTCAGTGGTTGTGTGGGCTCTGTGTTAACGGGTGGGAATTGCTCACAGAGGGCAGGCGTTTATTCTGGTTTCTTCATTGACACCTTCTCTTTTGTGATAACTTTAAAATCTTTTATGCTGTTTCCATCAAGTCTGATGGGGAGTTAGAAGTTTCAAAGATATAAAATTCACATTCCATGAACACAGGTGACTGGGAAATAAGACTTCACCCTCAAACAGGATGTGGTCTGAACCCAGCCCTTCTTAATCACCCAAAAATCCGGCTGCAAATCTGAGAGTGGAGAAAGTAATGAAATCTGATTTCCTCTGGAAGCCCTTGCGTGGTTTTGAAGCTGCTGTTGGAGCAGTTCTGCAGTGTGTGGATGACACAGAGTGTTTCCTCTCTGTGCAGGTTGGCGATGGTACCACATCGGTAACTCTGCTTGCTGCTGAATTCCTGAAACAAGTGAAACCCTACGTGGAGGAAGGCCTCCATCCTCAAATCATCATCCGTGCCTTCCGCACAGCAACGCAGTTGGTAAGGCAGCGCTGCTCATAGCCAAGGGAGGGCTCGGCTGCTGCTACAGAGCCGAGGGGTGTGCTGAGCTCCACTAGAGCATCTAGGGAGAGGAGTTCTGTGCCAAAGAGGAAAAATAACACACTTCCAGGCAAAATTCAGTAATGAATGGGCATGGGGGGGTGACAGTAGCGATCTCATGATATCTTACTGCAAACATCAGCTGCCTTCTCTGGAGTCCGAGAGCTGTTATTACCAGCTGATACCTCTGGAGTGCTATCGCTTCCTTTGTTTTATTTCCAAGGAGCAGCGAATAAATGGGAAAACTTGTTTCTCCTTCTCCTGATCTCTACTGCTCCTTAGTAAACCTTACGTCTTGTGAAGCCCATCAGTCCTGTTAAGCTGAATTTTCTCTGGAGCTTAACTCCCTCAGTAGCCCTTTGGTTCCCCAGATCTCTGCTGAAAACAGTGGAGCAGCTCTGAGCCTCTTCCTGATCCTCTTAAACTTAGATTATTGTGTTTCTTAGAATTACTGTCCTGGAAGGGGTGGAGCAGGTTAAATGCTTGAAACTTCAGTGATGTTGAAGTAGAGAATAAAAAGTAACATAAAACGCAAAGAGGTAGGTTGGAGATCTGATCAACTTGGGAGCATGAATCATTAATTCAACTGTTGGCTTGTGTTTTGACAGGCTGTAAACAAGATCAAAGACATTGCTGTTGCAGTGAAGAAGGAAGATAAAGAGTAAGTTTCCCGTACAGATGACCTGGTTGTATACCTGGGCTTCAGTTAGCTGGTGTGAGGGTGTTTCTGACTTCTGCTATGGCTCTGGCTGAGGTCTCAAGGTCGGGCTGAACAGTGGTGGCCCCACCCTGGGGTTATTCCTGAGCTTTTGGAGTTTTCTGCTCCTCCGGGGAAGATGCCATAATCTCAGCTGGGCTGCAGTGAAGTATGTAGGCCAGTGTCTTACAGTCCACATGGAGGAAACTAGGTACCAAAATAAGCAGACCGATTTCTTTTTTCCAGTGGTGGCAGCTTTTCCTGCAATCAGTGGCAGTGTTAAATGCTCAGCGCTTCTCTGAAAGTCAGATCGCTTTTAGCTGTTAAATGCATGAAGTTAGATAGCTAATAGCAGTAAGGAAATGATCCCCTCAGCTGAGGTGACAATACTGGAGCTCATTTCTTGCTGCGGTTTACACACTCGTCTGCTTGATCTGACATCACTAATACCTGCAGTAAAAGTTCAAGTTGAACGTGTAATCATCTTAAATAAACTGACATGAGTTACATCCTTTCTGCTGTGCTGTGACACGAAACAATTCTCATGGTCAGCAGTAACTTGGATGATAGAGCCTGGGAGTAAGATCCATGTTTCCCTGGTGTCCCTTGTATCATCCACTCTGTTACAGCATACGTTACCTGAGATAATACTTTAGAGAATGTGCCACTTTTAGAGGATTTCAGAAACTCCTTGCTGCCTTTGGATGGAGAGGATGCTGAGCCCCTTCTGTTTTGCCCAGGCCTGTGGTGTCCAAAAGCCAACCGACCCTGCCAGTGCTTGTCTGGTGCTCATGCTCTGAAAGAGAGAATCATGCTTGGACAGTCTGGACTTTGACACGTGTGCCTTGTTTTCCCTGTTGATAGAAGGGAGCTGATCTTTCCCTCTGTCCGAGCGGATTAGTCCTACCATGCACAGTGTTCTTGTGAAAAGGATTGGCGAGTGAACAAAACCTTGGTTTTTAATTTCTTTCTTGCAGTGAGCTGAGAAGCCTGCTGGAGAAGTGTGCAGCCACAGCCCTGAGCTCTAAACTGATCTCCCAGAGCAAGGAGTTTTTTTCCAAGATGGTCGTAGATGCTGTCATGATGTTAGACGACTTGTTACAACTCAAAATGATTGGAATAAAGAAGGTGCAAGGAGGTGCTCTGGAAGTAAGTTCTGTTGTAGCTTGTCCTGAAAGGATAGGAGACAGTGATCGCAGCTCCTTTGATGGATTGACTCCAGCAGAAGTGCAGCCCGGCTTGATAATATCTTTTGGGGAATGACCAAAGCAAAACAAAGCTGTTGATGTGAGGAAAAAGCTTACTTAGCGAGCAGGGCTGGATTTCTTTTCTGTAGGTAGGAAATCTGATTTTTTTTTAAAGCCAAATACGCTCTTATCTCGCTGCCCTCTGCAGCAAATGTTGCTTCTGATACAAATTCCATTTATATCTCTGCAAATAATGAAATAAATTTTTTGGTAGGAAGTCTTTGTTACTTCTGGAACCCAAAGCCGTACAGTGCCAGTTCTGTGCATGAGTACTGGATTGGGAAAAATGCAAGGAGAACGTTGTGAAGGAGCTGATCTGGTGGTGGGCAGGGCAGGTGGGATGTGTGGTTCATACCACAGGGCTGGAACACCCGTCAGGCACAGGGCTGTGCGCGGGTGTGTGTTGGGGATTTATTCTTGGGCTGCGGTTGAGTTGGTGTGTCTGCTCTCTCCTCCCTGTATCCTGTGTAACTTTGGCCCATCGCTTGGGAGTCCTCTGCTGAAAAGTAAAGCCCACCACAGTCTCTGTAAATTATTATTCTGTGGCTGTTGCTGTCTGTAAACACTCTGCACGAGCGTTTTCATTGAGAAGAGACATTATAATTATGCCATTATCTTGCCCAGACAACTAATTTAGTGAATTAAGAATGTTTCAGCGTCTGCTTTTGTGGTGCCTGGGCCTGCTGGTATTCCAAGGATTGCAGAAATTGGTCCCCTGGGGAGCGTGGTGTCTCCCGTTCTGGATAAAAGCTGCTCTCCCTACTCCCTATTGTTTGGCTCTTCTGTTCTGCTGTCAGACTCCTTGGAGACCTGTGTGAGGATGAGACAAATAATTCAGCACACTACTTTTCAGGGTTAGCTTGTGAGAGATCCTGGGTCATCTCACCTTGTCAGCTAGAGCAGAGAAAGGCTGTGCCTGTCCTAGCTTAGGAGGGACAGGGGCCCTCTGGGCTTCTGTGGCCGGGCAGAGCCAGGTCTGTAGCGCATGGTTAGGTACTCACGGGGTAAGAGCTTTGGATGCTGATTTCTCTCCCAGCCATGAAGTCAAGAAGTTCATTTCAGGGGGCAGAGTTGGGCAGGGCAGTCCTGCTGCAAAACAATCCCAGAGGTGGTGATGGAGCTTGGAAAAACAAAAAAAAAATCCCCGAGTGTGAGGCTGTGGATGAGAAGAATCCATCTTCAAAGGGTAGAAATGGGAAAGACATCAGAGAGAGAACAGATTGCTCCATCCCTTGATCTTCAGATTGTGTATGACATCTTTCGCTGCGGCGTCTTGAGGGGTAGAAAGGAAGTGATAGAAGCTGGTTTTGGGAACAGAGAAGAAAATACTTGCTTGTTTTCTCTAGAAGTGGGTTAATCAAAGGAGACAGCAGTTGGTGAGTGCTTTGTAAATGAGGACTCTGAAGGTAGGGAGTCTCCTGTGGGAGTTATTGACCCTGTTGGGAAAACCTTGGGAAGCTGAGCCTAACACAAATCCCTGTCTTCAAGGACTCTCAGCTGGTGGCCGGAGTTGCCTTTAAGAAGACATTCTCTTATGCTGGGTTTGAAATGCAGCCCAAGAAGTACCAGTCACCCAAGATCGCCTTGTTGAACGTGGAGCTGGAGCTCAAAGCCGAGAAGGACAACGCTGAAGTCCGAGTAAACACAGTGGAGGTAAGAGTCGACAAAGGGGCCTGTCCCCTTTCCTCATGCCTGCAGGACGTGGTGGCTGCTTGGGAGCCAGTGGGATAAATGGGATTTCCTTCTGCACGCCCTTCCCTCCCTGAAAATAGCTGGTGAGTTATGCTGGCTTGTTTGGAAGAAGGGTATGGCAGACTTGAGGTTGCAGCAGGTTTAGGGCATGTTTCTGCTCAGTTGTTGTGCCACAGCTACGCTGTGATAAGTCATCAGCTGCGTGGTGACTTCTTTACCCCTGACAAGTGGCCTTCCAGGGCAAGCTTATTAAGCAGTGCTTAAAATGCTGGAAAAGCCTCTGCCTATTTAAGCAAACAAGGGGCATTTGGATGATAGTTCTCTTTGCATCTTGTTAAAACACCTGTGTGAAATGCGGTTGTTCTCTGACACGTTCTTGGCCAGTACCGCAGTGTTGCCTGCGTTTGGTGCCTGCGTCATTGTGGTATCTAAAGATCTCTGGGTGCTTTGTTTCTGGGGTCTTGTCCCCTCCGTCACCTCAGTAACTGTTTCCTTCAAGTTATTCTCTATGCTGCGATGAACACGATGGTCTTTTCTGTTGTAGTCAGCTGCGGCGTGTGGTGTTGCTGTGTGCTGTTGGAAGCTTTCCCAGCTGTCCGTGGCTGTTTCGCTGACGGCCAGAACACAGCAGGCTGGCTGTGTGGCCTGTCCAGCCTGGTCATGCTGGTAAAGCATGAGGTTTCTCAGGATCTGTGTTTTACCTCTGATGGATGCTTTAAGTCTCTCCACCCCAGCATCCTTGCAGGGTTCTGTAAAGGTGTCTCAGACATCAGTATAATCCCTTCTTCTCCTTGTGCTTGCTCTTGAGCCTCCTTGCCAGTTCATCCAGCCCCTTTACGAATTCAGTTCTGCTGCTAGAAGCATTTTAACAGGCATGACTCTTGGAGTGACCTAAAATCACCTGCGAGTCTTGGAAAGCAGTTGTCTGCTGGGGCTGCATGGAGCAGCCTCGCTGCTGCCGTGGTTTCAGACGAGCTGTCCCTTTGCAGGCACTGCGGGGTGGCATTTGCAGCCCTTTGTAACGGGAGCGCCTGTCCCTTCCTCTCGTGTCCCTCGCAGGATTACCAGGCCATTGTGGATGCTGAGTGGAACATCTTGTATGACAAACTAGACAAAATCCACAAGTCAGGAGCCAAAGTCGTCCTGTCCAAACTTCCTATCGGTGATGTGGCAACTCAGTACTTTGCGGATAGAGACATGTTTTGTGCCGGCCGTGTCCCGGAAGAGGATCTCAAGCGGACTATGATGGTGAGCTGCCTTGTTTCACAATAAAGACTTCTGATTTAGGTTTAACGGTGCCAGGCTGGTCATTCCCAGAACAGACCAGCGATCGACTGAACACACTGTTCCTTACAAAGAGGTAACATTAAAATGGCATAATTTTTGCCAGTGTGATTGTTATGTGAAGTTGCCTTATTCCATCAAGGAACAGCTTTGTCAGTATGAACAACCCCTTGTTAATTGCACCTGCACTGCTCTCTTGTTTCTCTGATGTTCTTGTACATTAAGGTCTATACATTGCATTGGTAGCCTTTTTTTTTTTTTTCTTCTCCTAGTTCTTTTATGTTCCATCATGAGTGTTGTTTTCCTCAGCTTTCTTTGTGTAGCTGCTGGACTTTAGAGCCTGTGAATCAGCACTTGGAAGAACCATCATCTTATTTTGCTGTTGAGGATTATTTCTGATGTTGGTAGCCTGCCTAGATGCATGAGATAGGAGGGGAAGTAGAAAGGGTTTTTTTTCCTGAATCTGGCCTGCAGGGTGGTTTCGCATCAGCTAAAAGGCTGGGCTGTCTCTGAAGGGTGAGAGGCCACTGGGCAAATTTGACTGTTTGCCAGTGTTGGTGATGCTATGCTTTACCTCCTTTTCATGCAGGCCTGCGGCGGTTCTATTCAGACCAGTGTCAACGCCCTGTCAGATGATGTTCTGGGCAGATGCGAGGTCTTTGAGGAGACTCAGATTGGAGGAGAGAGGTAAGTACACCAGCTGTGAACCTCTAGTCCTGTGCAAGCACTCAGTATTAGTTTGAAAAGTTAGGGTAGGTTAATGTTAATGTTAGCAGGTTTGAGCATCTCTCACGGTGACGGTGTGAAAACAAAATTGTGTTATTCCTGTTTTTTATGAAGCTGAGGGAGCAGGAGAAAGGTTTCATATAGATTTTCTCTTATATGCTTTTAAATATATATGCTTATTCCCCACTGTCTCGTAGAAAGCATAGTGGGATTCTTTCATTCATAACTTGAAAGCAGCGTTTTTTGGGGTTGATTGTGGCACTCGTCTGATACCCCACAGTGACACTTTACTCTCAGCACAAATGAAGCTGGGTATAATGAGTTCTTCCTGTCGCTGGAGGAGAAAATCCTCTTTGGGGCTCTCTCCTAACATCTGCTGTGTTCCTGCCAAGTGAAAATGAGAGCACTGGTTTAGTGCAAATCCCTAGCAACAGGAAGAGAGTGAATTTTCTTGGATCATCTTGAATTTCACTTGTGTATTGCCTGGCTCTGCTCCTCCTTAGCTCAGGATCTGACAGGGGCACTGTGTACGGCGAAATGACTTCAGTCGTGCATCTGGCTCAGAAGGAATTTCTCTGTCCCTGTACTGTCGTACTGGTGCAAAGCCTGCTCAGCAGCAGCACTGCTTCTCCCTCACCTTAGCCCTTCTCGTGTCGTTGGCAGATATAACTTCTTCACAGGCTGCCCGAAGGCAAAGACTTGCACGATAATCCTGCGAGGGGGGGCAGAGCAGTTCATGGAGGAGACGGAACGGTCCCTGCACGATGCCATCATGATAGTCAGGAGAGCAATCAAGGTAAGGACCAGTGAAGGTACCTCCCTGCTGGATTGACATTGGGGTTGTTGATCGGACTTGGCATGGCTCTAACTCTTCCTAGAAACCTTTTCACACACCGGCGTTTGACCGAGGTCTCTCGGGAGAGACCAGGAGCTCTCAGGGAGTGGAGTGTGCAGACAGGCACCATCCGATTGATTAACTCAAGTGCTGTTCCTTGGCCAAAGCAGCCTTGTCTCTGCAGTGTTGCCAGCTGCTTCTCGGGCACGCCTGGCTTTTACGTTCCCTTCAGTGCAGCAGTTACTCGCGCTTGCTGGCTTGTGGTGTGTTCTGTGAACACCTCTGTCCTAAAGGGTGCATATCAGCACCCGTTGGAGCCACTTGTTCCCTCTCTTGGTGACCAGTCTGAGGAGGTGACTGTCCGCTGGCTGGGAGCACCGAGAGAGAAGTCTGAGGCACGTGTGGGTGCGTGTTCTGCTTGGGGAGTTGCTGGTCCTGTGCACTAGATGCTGCCTAACTGCAGGCGTTCCTGGGTTGTTCCTGCGGTAATGTGTTAATGTGGTGTTTTCTGGGTAAAAACAGCTTCTAGCTGAGCGCCCAGAGGGGATGAAGCATGTCAAGATTTTTAGAACTCTTTTCCTTGCAGAAAGAACATCTGAGCTCCCTGCTGAAGCAAATAGGGAAGGGAAAAAATAGCAGAACTTGGCTGCTGAGTGCTGCTGCAAATATCTTCAGTTTTAAATGTTTTACAGAAGTGAGGGAAGCTTGCTCAGCGCAAGGGGGCTGTGGTCTGCCGTCCCTGCCCTGCCAGAGCATCCCCAAACTACCCCTGTACCATGCACATAGCTGGGAAGGGCAGCTGGTAGCTGCCACTGAAGGTTCTTGACCTGTTTCTAAAGCTCCCAGCAAAGCTGGCAGGTGCTCCCGGGGATGGCAGCAACTTGGGCTATAGATTCCCCTGCACCTGGTGTGTCTGCGTCACCCTGACATGCGGCGCTTAGAGGACAGGAGGCTTTCCTGCTCTCCCCCTTCCTGGAATGAGACTGAGAGTTTCTCCTTTTCTTTCAGAACGACTCTGTTGTAGCCGGCGGTGGTGCGATAGAGATGGAGCTTTCCAAATACCTCCGGGACTATTCCAGGACCATTCCAGGCAAGCAGCAGCTGCTGATAGGTGCTTACGCTAAAGCCCTCGAGATCATTCCCCGCCAGCTCTGCGACAACGCTGGCTTTGATGCCACCAACATCCTGAACAAGCTCCGAGCCAAGCATGCGCAGGTGGGTGCCCACCTTGGAACCGAGGACTGTTGGGGAGAACCAGTAGTGTGTGATTTCTTTATTTTTTTTTTTTTTAATTTGAGCGTGACAGGTCCGGTGTAGTTCAGCTAAACCCATGTGAGGCTTGTGCCCTCTTTGATGAAACGCAGTGTTTTGTTTTCAGTTTGGGTGTGGGCTTGGTGCAGGTTTCTATAAGAGGAAATGATCTGTTTTCCCTTTGATCACAGCTGTCGGGTGACTTGTGGAGCTGGCAGTTCTGATTCGCTTTTTAAAAATGCACCATTTGTCAGGAGGGAGGCTTCTAATATTAAACATTAAAGTAACGAGAGTCTAGGAGTTGGCTGAGCCGTGTTTTCCAGAGGAGCTGCAGTCTGAGGGTCCTGATTGCTTGCGATCCTTTTGGATCTTGTGGAACGCGTGCATGCACGTGCAGTCCTGGTTCAGGCAGTTGGAAGTTGCCCCTTTGCTTCCTTTGGAAGCAGCTGCAGCGTTGTGAGGTGACTCCCACCACGTTTCATCCTGATGGTGATTGTGGGATTACGGGAAACACTCTGACATCAGCAGCTGTATCTTGGGCTGCCAAAACTGGAGCTGTGGGTAGGGGAATGAGCAGTGGAGTGGAAGTCAGTCCTGTAAATCTACAGCTTCCTTGTCAAGTGGAGCATGTCTCCTGTTCTATGAGGCTTTGCTGGCACTGTTTGACAACAAAGGCTGCTTTTTTTTTTTTTCCCTTTTGTATTTCCCTCAAATATTCCTCCTTCATACAGTGAGGTCCGATCTCTGCGTCTCCCTGAACATTTGCATGTGTCCGCTTCCCAGTGCGCCAGCCTGGAAGTCCTGACCAGCCCTGT